AAGTGGAGAGGGAGAGAGAGAGAGATATGGAAAGTGTTTGGTGCACTTTGAAAAAACAAAACATTTTTGTTTATCCTAGAAGGGCAATTTGGTTTACAATGGCAAAGATACACACACATAAATACATAATTATAATTATAAATACATACATACATAAAGAAAAAAATACTAACACATATAACATATTATGCATAAATATACAATGCTACACCAATACAGAACAATCTCACAACCATGCCATTGCTGGTCGCCCCTGTGCAAACTGGGCAAGGCTTGTCCCTTCTTGCTAGAGGATCTCTCACAGTATTAGGGGAGAAGAATTAAGACTCAAACCCAAAACTAGGTGTGCCTTTTTTCTCCTCAGATGACGAACACTTGACTTTCCGAGGCAACAGTATAGCCACCAAGGCCATGGAGGCCTATATGAAGTTGGTTGGAGAAAAGGTATGCTTTGCTTCTTCACCCATACTCAAGTAGGCATTCAATTACAAATACACTCTCCTCACATACACACGCACACACATACCACACACACACACACACACACACACACACACACACTCTCTCTCTCTCTCTCTCTCTCTCTCGCTCTCTCTATCTCTCTCTCTCTCTCTCTTTCTTTATCCCACTCCCCCCACCCATTGTCTATCTATCTATCTACCCATCCATCCATCCATCCGTCTACCATACTACCAGGTGTCTAAAAAAAGGGACCCATTTAAAGGAAAATAACTCAGTCGTCTTTGAACCAGTTTCAAATTTTTTTTTAAAGGAAAAGAAAAAGACGTCGGTCAGATTGAAAAAAAATAAAAATCAACGTGTTCGAAAACTTTCAGGTTTTTAACATTTCTACCAAAACTGAGTGAAACGCAAAACTTGGCAACTCCTTAAAAATCAACCATAGTGTTCCATTTCAAATAGGCACTATCTGTGCAGTGAAGAACAAATTAAACCCAGGGAGGTAATAGCTCTTTAAATTTCCAGGTGTTGACAATTTCTCTCCCTACAAGCTCTGGGTCAGTTCTTTGGACATCATGTTCAACATTGAGTTTAACTGTTCGACTGTTTGTGGGTTGTTTCCGTAGACTCTGTCCCTCAAATACCCCAACGGTGATAATTGAAAGGGCTCAAGTTAGGGAGAATGTGGTGACCATTCATTTGCAAACTTCCGGTTTAAAAACCGTTCCATAAATTTCTTACATTCATTCCAGGGCCACTCTTGACGTACGGGGTGTGGCCCAATCTCCCTTTAACACCCAGTCCCCAAACTTCTATAAAACTTTCCCAGCATAGTGTGCTATCCGTCTAAGGTGACTGTCGTGGTTGTACTGTTCTTGTCCCTGAACCAGAACGTGCCGATCACGCCCGTGTCAGTGAACACTTTTTAAGAAGTAAGATTTTACGTTTTACCCAATTTTTGGATGAAATTTTTAAAACTTGATATTTTTCAAACGCTTCGATTGATTTTCTTCACATTTATTACAGACTTGATGTTCTCATAGTTGAATTTTGTTTGTTCGAAGTTTTGTAGAAATTGGTGCTGAGATAACTGAGTAATTGCCCTTTAGGTGGGTCCTTTTAAAAAAAAAGACACTCCGAACTAGGCCGTCCTGCTCAGCAGAGCTCCTCTGTTGGCCCATACTCCTGTACAGTTTTCAACTTCTCCTGTACTTTTGCTGGGAACGCTCTGGGGGCGGTGTGCCGCAGTCAAGTCTACTTCTCCACACTGGCAGTTTGATGACTGTCAAAGAGAAAGAGACTGTAGTTGTTTAAAACATCGGTACATATACGTCGTCCTGATCTCTTCTCCTTTTTTGAGTTTGTACTATCTTATAAAACCTCAAATCTTCGGCTTTTATGCGACCATATTATGCTGCAAGTGCCGTAAAACACTTACTAAAAGGAAAACAGCTGAACATTATGTGTCGTCTGAGTCCTGTGTGGTGTGACCTTACACGGAGTGCACGATCAGCTCGGTTCGGTTTGGTAGGCGGTGCTAGTCAGACAGACTGAGGGCGCAAAGAGACCTTCGTGGAACAAACCGATCGCCCGACTCGCGGCCTCAAAAACAAACGCGTTTATTTTCAGGTCACGAATCGGGCCATCGGTTGAGGATCGGTTTGTCGATCCCCCAATGGGCACGTAGGTATTAGTGCGTCACCAGTTTCCCAAGCGGGTTCAACTATTCCGACAATCTAATCAAAGACGCCTTGCATTCTACACAACACGGTGGTACACTCTGGCAGCAACTGACGACAACAACAACAACAACAACAACAACAACAACAACAAAGATACGTGAGCGTGTGTGCATGTGTATTAGGGGAAAAAAAGGGGGGGAGTGGAGGTGAGTAGGGCGAGGAAGAGGGTTTTATTTTTAAGGGGTGGGGAGGG